ACACACACACACACACACACACACACACACACACACACACACACACAGCTTCTGCATAGCTCTTGATCTCTTGAATTATTCACTCTCCACATCATCCACTAACATATAACAAGGACATTCAAGCAGCTTATTAAGGGCCCCGGTGAATAATGCTGAGGCCTACCACCAATCACTGGCGGCCCCAGCACAACCATGTGACATATTCTTAAGCTTTCTAATCAAGCATTCAGTTGACTCCATCCCTAGCTATACTGTGGAAATCAGCAAAAAGTGTGGGACAGAACTTCCCAGAAACTTCAGTGTTCCTTACCCCATTCATCCCTACCCATACAGCCTTCTAATTTTTCCTAAAATTGTCTCTCATCATCTTAAACATATTTACCTGTCAAACTCTGCTATCTTCCCACTGATAATTGCTAAGAATTGGTGGTTTATTTCAATTCAAATCAAAAAATTTAACTGCTGACTAACATGGGAAGGTGTGTTGACTGAGTTTTGCCAAGTTTACAAAGAAATCAGTGCCTCGAAAAAGAATATCGTCATGCAGATGAACTGGTTTGCCAGTGTTTGCCACCAAGCCTGACCACCTGAGTTTGATCGCTGGAACTTGGTAGACAGAAAGAACCGACTCTACAACATGTCCTCCTCTGACCTACACAAGGATACATGCCACACACACACAGAAAAAATAGATATAGATAAACACAAAAAAGAAAAAGAGCCAGGTGTGCTATCCCATGCCTTTAATCCCAGCACTCAGGAGGCTGAGGCAGGCCGATCTCTGAATTCAAGACCAGGTCTGTTAACATAGAGAAACCCTGTCTCTAAAAACACCAGGCACTGTGGTGCCCACTTATAATCCTAGCACTGTAAGAGGCAGAGGCAGGCAGATCACTGTGAGTTCAAGACCAGCCTGGTCTACAAATCGAATCCAGGGGGAGAAAGAAAGAGACACACACACACACAGAGAGAGAGAGAGAGAGAGAGAGAGAGAGAGAGAGAGAGAGAACACAGAGAGAGATATTTTACTTTCTCCTCTCTAAAATGCCTTAATGTCTCACAGGAATAAATGTGAAGACTCTTTTGCAGGGGTAAAATTATTTTGGGAGGGGGTTGTTTGTTTGTTTCCCAAGACAGGGTTTCTCTGTGTAGCCTTGGCTATCCTGGACTCACTTTGTAGACCAGGCTGGCCTCAAACTCACAGTGATCCAACTGCCTCTGCCTCCCAGAGTACTAAGATCACAGGCTTTTGCCACCTCACCCAGAATTAAATCGTTAATCCAATTTCCTTCAAAGACAGACTAGAGAGATGATTCAGTGGTTAAGAGCACTTATTACTTTGTTTTAAAAGAGATTTTTATTTATTTATTATGTATACAGTGTTTTGCTTATTACCCATATACCTGCACGCCAGAAGAGGGCATCAGATCTCACCATAGATGGTTGTGAATCACCGTTGCTGGGAATTGAACTCAGGACCTTTATGTATAGAACAGCCAGTCCTCTTAACATCTGAGCTATCTCTCCAGCCCCAAGCACTGATTACTTTTACAGAGGACTCACATTTAATTCCCAGCACCCATATGGAGACTTATAACCTTTAGTTAAATCTAGTTCCAAGGGCTCCAGTATCCTTTCTGGTCTCCTCCAGTACCAAGAATGCATGCAGTATACTTAACATATTTGTGGGCAAAACATGCACACACATAAATCTTTTTTAAAAAATACAAGAATAAGAAACTTACATCTTCTAATTCTTTTTCCACCTGGATTTTTCTCTTCTGGAATTGTTTTATTGTCTTTAGCTCTGTCTGAATTATGCCGATTTCTTTGGATTTTTTATTAAACCGACCCTCCAACTCACTTAATTGCACAGAATACATTTCTTCCTGTATTCAAAAAAGAAATGAGTTAGGAAAAACAGGTGTTCCATACAGCCATGCCTTATTTGAGGCCAGAGCCATTTGTATATCTACTTGAAAGAACTGTCCATCTTTATTTTGCATGAAGCTATAATTTTTACATAAAATTTTAATTTCAGTAAAATGATGCCAACAGCCTTAAACAATAAACAGGATTTTTTTTTTGTCTATGAAGCTCAGTGAATGAAGTGTGTAGTTAGTATATGAAACCCTGGGTTCAGTCCCTAGCAACAATAAACCCAAACCAGACACCTCCAAAACTCAAAGCTTTTGTATTTAGTTGGCAACACAATCTTACAGATTGTGTTTTTAAGACAGGGTCTTCCCATTTAGCCTCCCTTGAACTTCCTCAGCTTCCCACCACCCTGCCTTTGAACTCACTCTGTAGCCTAGGCTGGCCTTGAACTCTTAGCAAAGCCTTAGCTCTGGAATGCTAGAATTTCAGGAATGAGCCACCACACCTAGTTTTCACTTAGTTTTTAAACTGTAGTGTTGAATTAGTGAAGCAACTTGCTTCACTAGGTTCAACCTAGGTTCAATCCTCAACACCACAGGGAGGAAAGATTTTTGCAGTTTTGACCAAAGATCTTTATCATTATGTATATAGGAAGAAAAACATCCCTCCTCCAAAAATTTCACATTATCTTGAACTCTTTCTAGTAATCTACGGGGGATGGCTTTAGTATTCTGAGATTGTTACTGTAGTAAACCTTAAGTAATGGGGTAATCATACTGATGTCATTTAGAACCAAGACTCTTGGTAAGGGATTAAGGTATATCATAGATAAAAAAAAAAATTCTGATTTGAGTCTGGGTGTGTAACATGAGGTAGAACAGCTGCCAACATGCAGAAGTCCTTGCTCAGGTTTGCTCTTTAGCACACAGCCCAGTCCTACTTTCCTGCATCTGAACTGCAAGTATTGATGGATTTTGGAACTGAGTACCTTTTGGAGGGTTGAGGGAGTCAAGATCTTGCTGTGCTGCCCAGAATACTGGCCTTGAGAACACCCAAATTTCTAGGTTCAGGGAGGACTCCTACTTTACCCTTTGAAGTTGCTGGTGTGTGTCACATGCCTCCATAATAATGCTACTTTTGAACATTTCTACAGACAAGTGCATGGGATTTTAATTTGTTTCTTTCTGGCTTTGCTTTGTTTTTGTTAAGGATCTGGGGACCAATCCCAGGGCCTTGTGGTTCCTAGGCAAACAGACATTTTACCACTGAGCCATGCATCGGGACCCCCTTTCTATTTACCTCTATTTGACCTAAAATGACCAAACTCACTAGAAATCTGATTCTCTAATAAGGAAATTCTTAGTCTATGTAGATACTCACCAATTTTTCCTTCTCTTCTTTGGCTTTTTCCTTTGTTTCAGCCAATTGCTGTTTCAGTTTTTCTATCTGTAGAAGATAAAATGTGAGGGTAAGGAAGATACAGAAATTGCTCTATGTCCTATCTCTATCCATATCCTTTATTGTTTCATATAATACTGAAGCCAGTGAGCCATAAAAGAGTGAATTAGGAGAAGGAGGGGACACAGATTTCCTCATTGTGCTGTCATCACAATTAGGTGGATAACGTTTTGTTGTTGTAAAAAAAAACACAACATTGGGTCAGAAAAAATGACTCAGTGGTTCAGTGTTTACTGCTCTTGTAGAAGACCCAGGTTCAATTCCTACCTATATGGCAGTTCACACTGCTTATAACTCCAATTCAGGGATCTAATGTGTTCTAACGCCTGTACAGGCTCCTATGTGCATGTAATGCACATACACACACACACACACACACACACACACACACACACACACAAAACCCAGAACATTAAATTTACTCTGTTAACCATTTTTAAGTGTACAGGTTTGTGGTGCTAAGTACATTTATGCTGTTACATAAAAGATTTCGAGATTTTTCATTTTGCAGTTCTTCCTTTTCTCTCTGCCTCTGGCAATCACTTTCTGCTTTGTTTCTGTGGGTTTGACTTGAATCATACTGCATTTGATCTCTTGTGACTAGCTTTTGTCATTTAACATAATATCCTGGAGGTTTACTATACTGTAGCCTGTTTTATTTTATTTTTTTAAAAAGATTTCTTTTATTTATTATTTATACAGTATTCTGCCCACAAGTATGCATGCAGGCCAGAAGAGGGCACCAGATCTCATTATAGATGGTTGTGAGCCACCACGTGGTTGCTGGTAATTTAACTCAGGACCTCTAGGAAGAACAGTCAGTGCTCTTGACCTCTGAGCCATCTCTCCAGCCCCTGTTATATGTTTTTGTTTGTTCGTTTGTTTTTCCTGAGACAGGGTTTCTCTGTGTAGCCTTGGCTGTCCTGGACATGCTTTGTAGACCAGGCTGGCCTTGAAGTCAGAGATTCGCCTGCCTCTGACTTCCTGAGGGCTGGGATTACAGGTGTGTGCCATCGCTCTAGTTACACGGTTTTCTTAAGGCTTTACAATTGTCCACAAATATATGTACCTGATTATCTTTTTCTCTTTTGGGGAGGAGTGTGGTTGGGGTAGAGACAGGGTTTCTCGTTGTAGCACTGGCTGTCCTGGAACTGGATATGTAGAACAGGCTAGCCTCAAACTCACAGAAATCCACATGTCTCCTGGGAGTCCTGGGTTTAAAATGTATGCAACCACACCCAGCCTCACTTGATTTTCTCCATCCATTTATTTTTAATAGGTGTATTTTTTAAGCTGTCAGTTGTTTTTTTTTTTTTTTTTGTTTTCAGATGTATGTGTCGTGTCTGAGTATAGCCACATGTGTGTAGGAGCCTTTGGTGGTCATGAAGCATCAGATCTCCCTGCAACTGGAGTTATGTGAGCTGCCCAATGTGGATGCTGCAAACCAAACTCAGGTCCTCAGAAAGAACAGTACATACTCTTAACTGCTAAGCCATAACTCCAGTGATATTTTTAAGCTGCTTTCATCTTGGATAATGTGAATAACACTACAAGAAAAAAGGAAAAAGCAACGGCAGCAAAGCCATTCTGAAATAAGAGCTTGCTTCAGGTAGAGCTAAGTATTAAGTACAATGTCCTAACCATATGATGAGATTTCAAGATCTTACAGTCTTTAATATAATAAATAAATAAATAAATCCCAGCACTTGGAGGCAGAATTAGAAGTGTATGAGTTCAAGGACAGTCAGGGCTATATGGACAGATTCTATCTTAAACAAACAAAACAAAACAAAAAACCTTATAGAAATATAATCATGTCAAATAAACACAAAGGAAGATTGTGAAGTTCACAGTTTTCTACCTACCTACCATATTATCTTTCTCCTGATCTTGCTTCTTCAAGTAGCTTAATACAGACATAGTATCTTTTTCCAGTTTATACTGCTGTTTCTTTAAATCCTCATTATCTTTTGCCAGTCTTCGGGAAGTATCACGATACTCAATCCTGGAGAGTTCTGTGACTTCCAATCTGGCCTCCCAAAGAGAGGCATTGGCCTTGGCTTGTTCAATAATTTGTTCCTCTATTTTCCTGCAGAGAGTGTAACTTTATTTATTAGTACCATTTCTCTTTTGCTTTGCTTGGCTTAAATTGGTGCATCTTCCCCAAGAGTATGACTTTATTATTATTTTTGAAATATGACTTTAAAGGACAGGAAAAACAAAGAGAAAATAAGAGCCCAAATGCATTTCCTAAAGTTCTATACCTTCTCACTTACTTCATTCTTCCATATTTTTTTATTTTTAAGATTTATTTATTATTTGTGCAGTATTCTGCCTGCATGTGTGCATGTGTGCCTGCGTGCCAAAAGAGGGCGCCAGATCTCATTATAGATGTTTGTGAGTCACCACATGGTTCCTGGGAATTGAACTCAGGACCTCTGGAAGAGCAAGCAGTGCTTTTAACATCTGAGCCACATCTCCAGGGTAACATATTCTTCTGCTGTGCTGAGCTGTACAGTTCCTGCTCCTAATCTTTTCTACTGTTTCACTCAGTTGTGAACCTGTGTTCCATTTCTACATAAAGACACATTTGTTGGGATATCTGTAGTCTCCACATCTATTCCACCCCAGTTTTTATTGTTACTTTGTTTTGTTTTAGCTAGTTCCTGGACAAAGGATCAAGTCATGTTAAACACTTTGCTTGTTGGTACCACAGGATACCAGGCTTTAAGGATGCTTGAAAAACACACACCACAATCATGTATGAAGAGATGAAAAAAAAATCTTTGAAAAGAGCAAAAAAGTAAGACCGTGGGGAACAGACTGGTTGGAGTAGTGTGAATGCCTAGCATATATCAGGTCCTCAGTTTGATCTCCAGAATATAAAAAACAGTAAAAGGATGGATACAAAGGTGAGGTCCTTCAAAATAAATATTGCATGAGCATTAACAAAACAGTGCCCTACAATAGGCACTAACAGTATAAATAATGCATTACAAGTTTCACATATTTGAATTCTAAAGTGTCTCCTACCAGTATTTAAGTAGAGCTGTCACCTCCCATATCCTCTCAGCTCCTGATTCTTAGTCCCTTTGAACACTTACCTTTTGTTCTTTTCAAATTCAGGCCAGCTCCATTCCCAATGCCTCAGCCTGACCTACCAGTGGCTGCCCCTTTCCAGGGTGATTTAGACACCAGTAATAGAATGCCTTTCTACAAGCTCCAATTGCTGCCTGAAAGTATCAAGAATACTTGATGCAAGCAATTAGATGTCTCTAAGAAAGAGATCATTAAGTTACTGGAGAAACCAAGTAGGGTTTCTCATTGTTTGCCTGTAAAACACTCAAGGAAAACAAACTGTATTATTGTTCCTCCTCGTTCACATGTGCACTGAAGATGGAGGACCAAAAATATAAAACATGCCTGTGAGAGGCAGGCATGTGATAAACCCTTGGCAATTTGTACAATATGCTAGACTGAGAAGTTATATTTGGTTTTCTCAATCACCTTGTAGAAAATATATGTTAATACAAGAGGTCAGTGGTAGAACACTTGCCCTATCAGGAGGCTCTAGGTTTGATGCTTGGGGTGGGGAGGAGGGGGTCTACAAATGTATAATTTTACACAGGATAAAAAAAAAAATGGTAGTAGTGGTTAACTGGATGGTAGAATGACAGGTGATTTTCTTTCTCCTTTAGTGCTTTCCATATCTCCAAAGCTTTCTGTTCTGAGTATGAAATTATTTTGCCGGGAGATGGTACCTAGGACCCTACACACGCACTCTATTACTGAGCTGCACCCACAGACCGAACAAGTTACCTTTTTTCTTTTTTAAAGACAAGGTCTCCCGCTATGTAGCCCCGGTTACCCTAGAACTTGTAATCTTCCTGCCTCAGCCTCCAAAGCAATGAGACTGCAGGTGTGCTTACTGAATTTGTCTTCAGAGAATTCACTTTACAATCACAAATCTAAGGGATTCCTTTGCGGTTCCCGCATGTGGTGGTGGTGGTGTTGAACTCCAAAGTCTTAAGTAGCCCAGTAGGTCTACTGACATGCTAGCAGCAACTCGAAGGTACCATGAGGTTGGTTAGTGCCAGAGCAATACCAGTGTAGGTGAGGGACCCTATCAGTCTGGTCAAAATCTTTCTCGTTCTCCCTTTGATCCAAGAAGGATTCCTGAAAGTCCCAAGGAACAACTTGTAACCACTCAGACTAGAGCTAGAATAGGACCGCACCAGTTCATATCAGTCTCACAGTGGAGACGTCTCGGGGCTTAAGGCCAAGAAAGAATGAACTGGAGATGTCCTCCAAAGCCTGGCCCGCAGAGGCAGCCAGGCAGCCTCTGCGCCGCTCCTCTTACTTCTTGTCTTTGACTTTGAGTTTGACCTTGCTTTTCTTCCTGGCCGGCATTTTGACTTCTCCTGGAGTCTCACGGTCCCGTTGTCCTGGTGGCCGCCACCGGGGCCGACTCCGTCTCTAAGGAAACCACCACGCCGAAAAGCTAACGTCCTCCGCGCCGTTGAGGGCACGCGGAGGGCGCACGCGCGTGACGTGACCGCGGCGAGGGGCGGGGCGGAGATCGCTCAGAGGCGGCGGCCGTCGGCGCGCGCCCCCGGTGAGTGTGCACGAGCCTCGGCGGCGCTCCCCGGGTCGGGGCCGGGCGGGAGGCCGGGAGCTCGGGAAGGGCGGGAGCGAGGCGGGCGGGCGCCGGGCCGCGAGCGGCGGCTCAGCCCCCAGAGGCTTGCCACGCGCCTCAGGAGGCTCGGTCCCCGGCGGCTCTCCGCTCCGGCGCCCGTGGGGCTTGACGCGCTTCCAGCCGAGCCAGCGGCTCCTCCACGCCTCCGGCGCGGCCACCGTGGCGGTCCTGCCCCGCGTCCCCGCTTCGCGCCCGGCTCGTGCCTCCCTGCACTCCGTTCTCGCTTCTGCCTTTGGAGAGGACGGCGCACCCGGGGACACCCCAGGCCAAACGCTTTCAGGGAGGCAGTTGACTCCTCCGAGGGCGGTGGCTGGGGTGAGGCTGTCAGCCTCCGCGGGTCAGCGGGCTCGGGCGCGCAGACTCCGGCCTCCTGCCCGGAGCGGCGTGGCAGGGAGGGTCGTCGGTCCCCGCGTCTGCGGTGGCAGGTGCTTGACCCCAGGCGACCCCTGGGTTTCCTGCCAGCTGCTATCGTCCACATCCTCTAGTGACTAGAGTTTAATCCCTTTTCTGCAAGTTGCATAAAGTTGCAAGTGCTTGCTTCGCATCCCCGTCCCCCAAAAGGAGTACTCCAGAATTCTAGTTTGTTCAGGGGAGGAACCCTGTGATTATCCTTCATTCAGTGAGAGTGAGTCATTACGGAAGACAGGTATTGTGGCTGCCAAGTCAATAGGAGACTTATGAGTGAAGTTCTATTCTGCATTATCCGCCCTTTCTCTAGGAAGACCTCAGTTACTACGCCCTTAACTATAAGGTGAAGTCTTTGACCTCTAATTTTCTCTTCCACCACCTCAGTCCCGTGGCATATGTAGTTTGTAAATTTTGCGGTTAAAGTAAGCATGTAGATTTGGTAAGGGACCGTTTGAACCTTCTGCTAGCACGGTTATGGCCTATTTTGACTGTATTTCTCCCGTGTGTTTTCCCCTCCGCATGTGACACACCAATGAACCCATGAGTAGAATCACTGTACATTAGCCCTGAGAAGCAATCTATAAAGCAGCCTATTGATAACAAGCAGAAAGGGAGTAGGGCATCTTCTTGTCATAGGTGTATATCAATTTTTGTAACAAAATAAAAGTCCCAAATTTACCATTTGAACAAAGGCCTACAGATTAACTCATAAACATAAAATTCTGACTTTAATAAGATAGATTTTCGTTGTTTTATTTTTTAAGCTTTATATTTATTTTATGTATATGGGTGTTCTGCCTCCATGTATGTCTTATGTACTGGGTGCATGCAATGCCTCTGAAAGCCAGAAGAGGTCATTGGAACTGGAATTACAGATGGTTGTGAGCCAACATATATGGATGCTGAGGATCAAACCTGAGTCTTCTGGAAGAGCATACACTGCTCTTAACCTCATCGCCATCTTTCCAGACTCTCCCCCACCTTTGAGATAGAGCCTCACTGAATCTATTTAGCTGGCCTAGAACTCTCAAAGATCTGCTTTCCTTTGCCTCCCGAGTGCTGAAAATGTGTCACCATGCCTGGCAAGATTGCTTCTTGATATATACATACTAATTTTTTTTTACTGTTTTTTTTCTTAAAGATTTATTTATTATTTATATAGTACTCTGCCTGCACACCAGAAGAGGGTACCAAATCTCATTATAGATGGTTGGGAGCCGCCATGTGGTTGCTGGTAATTGAACTCAGAGGTTTTGGAAGAGCAGCCAGTGCTCTTAATCTCTGAGCCATCTCTCCAGCCCCTTTACTGTGTTTGTTTGTTTGTTTGTTTGTTTGTTTGTTGAGGCAGTGTCTCATATGTAGCTTTGGCTGTCCTGGAACTCACTATATAGACCAGGCTATCCTTGAACTCAACTCATCTGCCTCTGCCTCCAGAGTGCTGTAATTAAAAGTATGCACCACCATTGGCTATGCACATGCTTTAAACTACTTTATAATTTATTATATTTTATCAAGCATAAATAATTTTTTGAGATTGCAATAAAATCATATCATTTCACTCTTTGTTGTTGTTGGTTGGTTGGTTGGTTTTGACACAGGGTTTCTCTGTGTCACCTTGGCTGTCCTGGACTGGCTTTGTAGACCAGGCTGGCCTCAGACTCACAGAGCTCCCCCTGCCCCTACCTGTTGAGTGCTAGAATTAAAGGCGTGTGCCACTACTGCCTGGCATCATTTCACTCTTTCATGCATGTTTTATAAACTGATATTTTTTAATTAAAGCTTAGGCCTACATAAATTTATTGGTATTTCACAACTCTACTCAGAAACTTCATTTAAAAAATTAAAATATAATGTCCATTTTTCCTTTTCCTCCCATCCAGCTCCAAACAGTCCCATCTATCCCCCATTGCACTTGCTTGCCCTCTCTCTGTGTCTCTCTCCTCCTCCCTCCCTCTCTTTCTGATTCATGGCTTTTTAAAACTTTTATATAACATCTAATATATATATATATATATATATATATATATATATATATATATATATCCAGATAAATACAACCTGCTCAGTCCATATTATGTTCCTTACTTGTATGTATATGATTTTAGAGCTCTCTAAACAAGACCTGAACATGATGACACCAATAGACTAACTTGCTAACTTGGCAGGAAGAAATCGAACAGGGCCCCAACCCAACCCCAGACAAAGAACTACAGGCAACTCAGGAATGCTGAGAGTGGGAGAAAGTCTTCCCCAGAGAAAAGTGTCCCACCTCCCCGCCCATTGGTTATTCAGTACCAGTTGGTCAGACATGAATACATATTTTAAAACTTTTACATTTACTCTGTGTGTATGTGTGTAAATATGATGTATGTAGGCAAGTGAGTGAATGTATGGATATGATGTGTGTATGAAGTCTGTTCTCTTCTTCCTGGGTTCTGAGAGTTGAACTTAGGTCATCAGGTTTGTATCGCAAGTACTCTTATTCACTGAGCCATCTTGCTAGCAGCATGACAGTTATCATAGGAGAAATAACAAGCTGCTTTATTCTGGTAGAAGTAGTTCTAGAGACTACAGTGTTCTGAACCTCTGCTTTTACCACCAAAGGACTGGATATAGTTATTCAGTCATTTATTGACAAGAAGCAGCTGACAGTACAGAGTATAATGTAGGAAGTTCCTGTTCAGAATCTTACCTTCTGGAAGTGCTGCTGGGTAGCCTGACTGTTAAGCTTCAGGAAATGCTCTGTTTTTTTAATTTACTTTGCCTCATGGTTGGGAATGTTAAATACTTTTAAAGACATTAGTGTTTTGTTGACTGGAGCTTGTTGATTTTTTTAATGTTCATTTCTCACAGTTCTTGGATGACACAGAAATGAAGAGTATTTTGGCTGAGTCTTCAAGCAGAGGCAATCACTATGACCCTGGTAAGTAGATTGTTTATCTGGACATAGCCCCAGTTCTGCAAACTGAAAGCTCAATTTGTACTTCAGATGCTCCTACTTCTGGGTAGAAGTTATTTGTTTTGTGTCATTCCTAAATTTGACTACCTTTTGCCAAAAGATACGTTTTTTTTTTTCTCAATGATTGTATTATTATCAGGTGTGAGTTTAATTCAGGATTATTTTGTATCAAAATGAATATTATTCCTAATCTTTTCTCCTAATCTTTTCTTTTGAAAACAGGGGTTTTCAAAACAGTTTAATCATTAGTTATCTGTGACTTTACTGGGTTTTACTTTAAAGAGAAAGTTTTACACTGAAAATAGCTATTCATTTTATTTTCATGCAGCTTTTAAAATCCTGGATAAATGTATTACCATACAAACTTTTTGAAAGGGCTGATTGGTGTTTCTGAATATTACAGAATGAGCTTATTTTTATCCTACTTTTTTAATTACATGGAATTGGTTTTCTTCTATTGTGGGTTCTGGGGGATGGGGCTCATTCTATTAAATGGACACTATGTTGTGATGTGATTAGTTCACTATAAGGAAGGTCAAGATTTAATTTTACCAATTAGATCAATTAAAGTTCACTGGGTTTTTTTTTTTTTGTTTTTGGTTTTTGTTTTTGTTTTTTGTTTGTTTGTTTTTTTTTGTATACAGGATGTAGAGTACTTGCCTACCATGCTTTAATTCCTGGTTTGGTCTCCAGCACTGCATGTACTGGGTATAGGGATGCATACCTGTGATCCCAGGACTTAGAAAATAGAAACAGGGCAATCAGAAGTTCAGGACCATCCTTATCTACAAGGATAAATGCCAGCCTAAGCTACATGAGACCTTGTCTCAAAAATATTGTATTCTGGGGAGGGAAAGGGGGAGGGAGGGAGGGAGGGAGGGAGGGAGGGAGGGAGGGGGTGGGAGTAAATGAGGGATGGGATACAGCTGGGATACAGAGTTAATAAAATGTAACTACTAATAAAAAATATTGCATTCTCATAGATAATTATTAGGTAATTAGCTGTTAGTTCTTTGCAAAGTATCATACTTTTATTAATTATTTCTTCCAACACAGCCATTAGCCTAAACTAAAAGTCAGTTCTTTAAAGAAAACTGAAACCTGGCATGGTATTGCAGGCCTTTAATCTCAGCACTCAGGAGGCAGAAGCAGATGGAGCATTGTGAGTTCCAGGCCAGCATGGTCTACAAAGTGAGTCCAGGACAGCCAGGGCTACACAGAGAAATCCTGTCTCAAAGAAAAAAAACAAAACAAAACAAAACAAAACCAAAACCAAAAAACTAAAAGAAAAGAAAAGAAGGAGGGACAGAAGTGAAGAAGTGACCCTGAGTAGGTGTGGAAGTGCACAGCTTTTATACATACATATACAAAAAACTTTTACTTTTATATAAATTTACTTTTATCTGCATTGGTGTTTTGCCTGCATGTATGTCTCTGGGTGT